AGGAGTGAGACTGAGCAAATACAATACTTAAAAGAATGAGTAAAAAGAATATTGAAAAACTCAGTAAGAAATACACAAAAATATTTAACTCAAGTGTCTCACATACTTTTTCAGTTGTTTGTTTGTTCTGAAACAGGGTTTTGCTATGTAGTTCAGGCAGGCCTTTAACTCATTAGGTAGTTCCCACTCACCTGGAACTTGCAGAGATCCTCCTGCCTCAGCCTCTAGAGTGCCAGGATTACAGGAGTGTGCCACTGCACCAGGCTCCCACACACATTCCTTATTTTACTAATTTTTCCCTTCCCACTCAAGTAGACAAGAGTACGTACTCTAGGAATTTCAGGACAGTGCTTTTGTTGCTTTTTAATTTATAGATAGTAAAATGTACTTTCTACCACTATCCTTTCCGTGTGCTTCCAAACACTCCTATGTGTCTAAACTTCGGGAATCAAATAATCAAGCTGAAATATGGCTAATTTTTTTACAAGCCTGTTTTGGAAAGAACTCTGTCAAACTAGGAGAGATCATTTGTCTAATTCTTTTATACACGTGCTTTTTCCAGGAAACAAATGTGTACAAGAGAAATAATTTTTCTTAAGGGCACCTCACTACAGTTTAACTATTCAAGTTAGGTAGAAAATTAAGTAGATTACTATTAATGTTAATAACAAACATTATTACAAATTACCAAAAAATTAGAAGATGAGCGCAGGTATAATAGAAGACATACATTAAAATGAACTTTTAAAATCTTTTTAAAAATGTATTGGAAAAAAATGATTAATATTTTAAAAAAGCAAGTAATATCAAAGATATATAGTATGAGCTTCTAAAAGAAAAACAAAACCATTGAATAGGACAAGCAATAAAAACTAATTCAACAAAATTTCCCAAAAATTTTAAAAAAAAATTTTTTAATTATATGTGAAAATTTCTGGCTCTTTAGTCTTAAGGTACAATTAAAAGTTCTCACTCAAGTTCTCAGCTACTATATATTTTAGAATGCTAACCCACGATAACTAAGACATAACATAGTTAAGTAAAATTATTTAATTTTAATATTTTTTTTGGTACCAGGGATTGAACTCAGGTCCTTGGCGCTTACAAGGCAGGCGGCAGAACCACTGAGCTAAATCCCTGGCCCTAATTTTAATTTTTTAAAAATATGCATTAGGCCCTCGGCCCCTTGCCCTGCCCTGGTGCCCCCCACGGACTCTCTGGGTCCTGGGGACAGGAGCCCCCCAGGCAGCCCCTCCTCCCCCACCGAGCAGCGGATTTCTGTGTCCAGCCCGGGCTGGGGTCACAAGGTGTTTGTGGTGACCCGGGTGGAGAGTCCACTCAAGAGGGCAGAGCCCCCCAGCCTTGCCTCCCCTCCCTCCCCAGCCCTGTCCCCCACCCGTCTTCCCGCCAGCCGAGCCCATTGGCACCCAGGATCTAGGGTCATCTGAGCCGGAGACACCTCAGTCAGGGCCACCATTGCCCAATGGCCTGAAGCCTGAGTTTGCCCTCGCGCTTCCCCCAGAGCCACCACCGGGGCCTGAGGCCAAGGGAGGCAGCTGCGGCCTGGAGCACTAGCTGCGCTGCCCGCAGGATGAGAATGCGCTGGAGGAGCTGCTTCTGGAGGCCAGTCAGGAGGCCGCACAGGAGACACTGTGACACTTTCCTTTTTTCTGATTAGTCTTGGATGAGCTGAGGCCAGAGCCATGAGAATCTGCTCGCCCTCACCCCAGCCCTCCTGAGGCCCAGGATGCCAAGGCCAGGAGCACCCCAAGACCCTGTGCCAGGAACACTACAGCCTCGAGGCAGCGGCGCATCTATTTATGTGTCTGCCACACTCGAGGACTTGGGCTGAGGTGGAGGAGGGAGGAGGGCGAGGAGGCCTCAGGACCGCTCCGGTTCTGCAGAGCCTGCTCGGCCCCGCCTGCTGTGTCGAGGGCAGGTGGACGGTGGCCCCCTTGACCCCACCAGGGACCAGGCAGATGGCATGGGTGGTGGAAGTTCCCAGGATGCCCCAGGTGGGGTGTGGGCCGGGAGGGTGGGGCTGGGTGCAAAGGGTCAGAGCTTTCTTTCTCTTAAGTGCAATAAATCTATCAGGGAGCTGGGGCAGCAGCGGGCGTCGGGGGACCTCGCTGCCCAGACCATTGCGGCTGTGCCCTGGAAGGCACTACAACCTCGGGCGGGCAGGAGGGGGTGACTGTCGGTGCGGCTCTGTTCACACCTTTTCTAATAAAGTGAGGCTGGGATCACCACTTAAAAAAATATATATATGCATTAGGCAAAACAAGCAATTTATATGGGATTAGAGTATCATCACATTTTAACAACATCATTATATGCCAGAATGAAATGGGGTTATATATTATTTATATTTGAGAAAATATAAAACAAGGAAACCACATAAAGCACTACCAATTGTCAAGATTTTTTTTTTGGTACCGGGGATTGAACTCAGGACCTTGAACTTGTGAGGTAGGCGCCAGAACCACTGAGCTAAATCCCCAGCCCATTTTCAAGATTTTTAAAGGGCAAAAGCCTGTCTATATGTACCAATTCAGGAATAATGAAGAATGTTACCAGGGAATTAGTTTCAACAATCAAAATGAAAAGGAAGGGTAAGCATGAGAATTAAACACATGGCTACTTACACAACTGAGAATAGGTAAAGAAAAACTAATGTATTGTAATGTCCAAGCATCCAATGTTAGATATTGTACAACAATAAAAAGAATGTGAGAGAGAAGTGAGAATGGGAAGGATACTCACCCCCCCAAAAAAAGGTTTTAGAAGTTTCCAACAATTACAGCAAGAGGCAGTAGTATCCCTTTTTTCTGTACATAACATGGGAAAAATTGATGATTAATATTACCACTACGTCTTTTTAAAACCAAAATTCTAGAAGATATGACTACAATAAAATTGCTTGCAAAAAAAATAAAAACTAGAATCTTGAAATTTGAGTTCTTTTAGTATGAGCTCATGAAGCTGTTTTTGTTTTGTTTTGGGGAGTGTTTTTTGTTTGGTACCAGGGATTAAACTCAGGACCTTGGACTTGCAAGGCAGGTGTGGTGCCACTGAGCTAAATCCCCAGCCCACATGAAGTATTTTATGATAATCAATTTAGTAGCAGCAAGCAACTCCAAACAGCCAGATTATGAGACTTTTTGAAAAGTCATTTTCCATAAAGGAAAAAAAAAAGGAGCTAAGGCATAGTGGAGACATAGCTGGTTCTAGACTTAGGTATAAAATATATCGTAATAACTACTGTTATACCTGTATCTAGATTTCCTCTTAAAGCCTCATGTAGCCATAGGTGGGGCTTTTCAGAGGTGGCTGGGTCTAGAGTGTGTGATGCTAGGATTAAGTGTATGATGCTGAGATCAAGGGTGTGTGATTACTAAATCAATCCACTGATTTGTTTGGCATAGTTCTGGGTATGGATAATAGGAAGGCCCACCACCCTGGGTGTGAGTGCTACCTGCACTAAGGGCGTGTAGCCTGGACAGAAATACAAAGTACAGAGAGCTGCTGTCATTGCTTGCTGCTTGTCACCTGTTTACTACTTCACTGCTTGCTGCTTTGTTGCCTTCTGCCTACCATGAACTGCTTCTCCTCTGTGATGCCACCCTGCCTTGGAGCCAGCCAACTATGGACTGAACCCCCTACAAACTGTGAGCCAAAATAAATCTTTCCTCCATTAACTTTGGGTGTCAGGTATTTTGTCTCAGCAATGAGAAAAGTAAATAAGACAACTACGGAACACTTTTGTCATGACAATGAAGAAAACTATCAAAACTACCACAGTCCAGTTGAAAGAACTCAGGTCTTAACCTGAGGCAACAAAGAGGCTCCCAAAACACAGGATCATTTGAGCTTCAATGCTTATACTATAATGAGCAGAAATCATAAAATATACTTAATTCCAAGAGTTCATAAGGAAACAAAAATTATATCACCTCTAGAGAATCTATTAACTTAAAAAGTGGCAAGTAGATGTTTTGCTTTTTCTCCATGAATCATAGCACTGCATAACAAAATACCAGAGATAATATCATTTCATAAAGACACATTTATCAAATAAAAATAAAATTAAACTATCACCTTTTGGTAAATCAGAGTAAATAACTAAACTTTGGTGGAAGAATACAATATTAGCTATAATTTGAGATCAAATCTTAACCCCACCAAGTCTCCAGACCCAGCTTCCAATTTGCAAAGTACAGAGAACAGAAGAGCATGTAGAACAGTACACATTCAGCAAATTCTGTGTCAGAAGTGATACCTCAAATCACACTGATTTTTCGACAATAAAGTACAGCCATGTGTCACTTAGTGACTGAGATACATTACTAGAAAAGCATTATTAGGTGATTTTTTTGCTGAGAACAAAATGTACCTAAATGAATACAGACAGGCTATAACTAGATGATACAATCCTATGGGGCTACTACTATATATGTGATGCATCTATTGCAGAAAGTGTTAGGTAGCACATTAACTGTAAAAGGAAAAGGAGTCAAGAACCTACAGATTAAGAATGACTTACCCATTTTTTAAAGAGGCAAACTAAATCAGAGTTTAAGTATGTACAACTGGATAAAGTAACAGCACTAAAAACTCATAATGGTGCTTAGTCTTGGGGATTAATCTTGGGGATTTTGTCACTGGGACAAAATACTCAACATCCAAAACGTAAAGGAGAGGTTTATTTTGGCTGTTTCAGTGGGCTCAGACCATGGTCAGCTCCCCCCAAGGCAGAAATAGCACTGCTAATGGGCCTGGTGGAAGAAAGGCACCAAATGGTTGCCGGGAAGGAGAGAAGGAACAAAAATACACCCTTCCAAGTCACACACCCAGGGACCAGGCCTACTTCCCAACATGAGACTTTTGGGGACATTTTAGATCTAAACCATAACAGTGGAGAAGGAAAGGACTGAGATTAGAATAGGACACATGGAAGTAAGCTTATAAAATTCTATTGACTGGGTAGTATTTATAAGGTTGTTCATCTTGCTTTCCCAGGCGGCTCCCGAAGATGGCGGAGGGGCAGGTCCTGGTGCTGGATGGCCGAGGCCATCTCCTGGGCCGTCTGGCGGCCATCGTGGCCAAGCAGGTTCTGCTGGGCCGGAAGGTGGTGGTTGTGCGCTGCAAGGGCATCAACATTTCTGGCAACTTCTACAGAAACAAGTTAAAGTACCTGGCCTTCCTCCGCAAGCGGATGAACACCAACCCGTCCCGCGGCCCCTACCACTTCCGGGCCCCCAGCCGCATCTTCTGGTGGACCGTGCGAGGTATGCTGCCACACAAGACCAAACGAGGCCAGGCCGCCCTGGACCGCCTCAAGGTGTTCGATGGGATCCCGCCACCCTATGACAAGAAAAAGCGGATGGTGGTTCCTGCTGCCCTCAAGGTGGTCCGCCTGAAGCCCACAAGGAAGTTTGCCTACCTGGGCCGCCTGGCTCCTGAGGTTGGCTGGAAGTATCAGGTGGTGACAGCCACCCTGGAAGAGAAAAGGAAGGAGAAGGCCAAGATCCACTACCGGAAGAAGAAACAGATTATGAGGCTACGGAAACAGGCCGAAAAGAACGTGGAGAAGAAAATCAGCAAGTTCACAGAGGTCCTCAAGACCCACGGACTCCTGGTCTGAGCCCAATAAAAACTGTTTATGCCTCATGCTTGGCCTGGCCTGCCCTTCCTCCATCGCCACCCTGGGATGTGGGGGACCCAGGGGCGGCTGTCCAGGTGCCACAAGCAACCTGGGACCTAGAGAGCTGGGGAAAAAGAAGGTGCCATAGTCTATCCCTGTGCAAGGTCTTTTCCTGAGCTTTAAGTCATGTCCAGATGGAATTTCTGACCTGCTCCTTGTGGAGAGAGCCTTAGAAAAGTGATGATAGAAGCACCGTTACTCTGGTGCAGTGCTGAGACACTGCTGGGGTGGCACTGCCCTTCCCCTCTGCCCATGTGGCCAAATGCCATACTCTGCAGCTGTCAGGATGGGAGGGGTACCTGCTACCTTGGGCCAAAACTAGAGGTGCGTAGACTGGGTGTGCCACTAAGGGATTTCGGCCCTGGCCCTTGCCCCTTCCTTCTTTGTCACCAGAAATGAATAAATTATTTTTAAAGAAAAAAAAAAAAGGTTGTTCACCTTACAATTTATTAGGCTATGTTTTAATTTTTTGTATTTGTGTTTTGTCATTTAAATGTTTTTTTAAAAGCAGGAAGAGAGGCTAGGTGTGATGGTACACACCTGTACTCCCACACTCACGAGGCTGAGTCAGAAGGATGGTGAGCTTGAGCTCAGCTAGGCTACATAGTAACTTCAAGGGCAGCCTGTATTACATAACAAGAACCTGTCACGGGGTTGGGGCAGCCAGAAAAGGTACTGCTTGATACGATTTTAAAAGATCAAGAGCAAGTACATAGATTAATGTCAGCTGCCACACAGAAAATCACAATCATCTGCCCAATTTCTAGATATAGTCAATTCTGTGGCTCAAACTAAAATGGAACACCACTTTTGGCTGAGGGAGTGTTTTCAATGTCACAGCAAGTACATACAGTAGCAAGCCTCCCACATCTTCTTCATTTTTCAGAGTAACTACATACTGAAGAACACCAGATATTTTAACACCCACATATTAGATACAGGGGCTTAGTTGATATTGATGAACCAAAAAACACTCTCAAAGTTCATTAAAGTAGGGCCCTAAGAAAGTCAAGTGATAAATGGGGCCTTGGCACCAGTCTGTCTCACAGGAGCTAAATCACAATATAGTCAAAGAAATCTTGATCATCTGGGTAGTCTCTCAAATATTGTGCTGGTCCACCATATCCATCACATCATGTTCACTGGACCTACAGGAAGTGGCAAAAGGATTCGAAGAAGAGACTGCAGTAGGATGCACCAAGAATCTGTTTCTCTATATGGGTAACAACCTAACTAGTAGAATCTGATACCCAATAGTCCCCATTTATACACCTGAATTATGTTCTGAGACCCCTAGTGAATGAAACACAAATTGTACTAAATCCTATAAATATACTGTGGTTTTTTCCTCTACATACCCACCTACAATAAAGTTTAATTTACAAATGAGGTACAGCCAGAAAATAGAATATATTTCAACAAAACAACATAGTTCAATAAAAATTTTTTAAAACCTGTGAAACGTCAGATGCAAGGGCTCCTGCCTATAATTCCAGTTACTTTGAAGTCTGAGGCAGGAAGAATTGAACAAGGCCAGCCTGGGCAATTTAGCAAGACCGTGTCTCAAAATAAAACAAAAAGGGCCAGGTGAGGTAGCTTAGTGCTCTCTGGATTCTATCCCCAGTACTACAAGGGAGGGAGGGAGGGAACTTGAGAACGGTTCATTTCTGGGATTTTCTCTTCAGTATTGTTGTCCAGTTGGTCACAGATAATAAAGCCATGGAAAGTACAACCAGATAAAGGGGAACTACTATTCACCTATTTTTGGAACTCTACAGTCCATTAAAGGTTTGCAACCTCGAGGGTAAGTCTTGGAAGGTGGTAAAGTGCTGTTAATTTTTGTCAGTTTCAGCTCCTAACACATTACCAGTCCCCCATTCCCCAGCCCCAGCCCCAGCCCCACACCATGCAGCTGTGCATGTTTCTGCAACAGGCTGAAGTTAGTAGGAGCCAGGGTGGGCAAAAAGGAAGGACCCTGTCCCTCAAATATTGAGGACCTGTGTTCTGGTTGCTATGTCTGCTCACAGAAGGATGAAGAGGCAACAGGCACTGTTGTTGCACTGCCCTCCATTGCTGCAAGTCCTCCTCTCAACAAATTAAATGATCTCCGGGGAAGGGGAAATTAAGGCAGGCACCCTCCTCCTCTTCCCTCCAATTTCTTCCTCTTTCCCCTTTAATATCGAAACACTAAAGAGTAGGACATTCAAAATCAATTGTGTACAACATGAACACATGTGTGGAAAGAACGGCACAAACTCGAAAAGACCTGAGTAGAGATTACATTTACAGCCCCAGGGAAGGAAAAAAAGAAGGGAGCAAACTGTGAGGAAGTGGGGAAAACTGAGTTCCAGGGTTAGTACAGTATTAGAGTCAAATTTCCACTTTTCATTAATAAAAAAATTCACAAAGCAAACAAAAACAGGAGTATGACCCATTCAAATAAATAAGTCAACAGAAACTGTTCCTGAAAAATACCTGATACTATACAGACTGTGAAGTAGCTATCTCTTTATTTTTTTTTGGTACAGGGGATCGAACTTGGGTCCTTGCACTTGCGAGGCAGGCGGTGGAAACACTGAGCGAAATCCCCAGCTCTGAAGAAGCTATCTTGATACTCAAAGAAGGAAAGATGAATAGGGAAAGGAAAGAAAAAAAGAAGTATTAAAAATGGAAATATCAATATAAAACCTAAGAAGCATCCAGAAGAAATTGTTATTTAAAAGTGCTGAGGGATTTGAAAGCAGATTTGACCAAGCATGAAGATTCAATGAGCACAAAAAAAAAAAAAAGATTCAATGAGCATAACAGAAATTGATAGAAAAATGAGGGCACTATGGTGCACACCTATAATCCCGGAACTCCGGATGCTAAGGCAAGGAGGATCACCACGATTTTCCAGGCCGGCCTGGGCTACATAGCAAAACCCTGTCTCAAAGAAAAAGTAATGAAGAAAAGTGAAAAGAGGGCCAGGGATTTAGCTCAGTGGTTTCACCACCTGCCTCCCAAGTGTAAGGTCCCAAGTTCCATCCCCAGTACCAAAAAATAAAACAAACAAAAGCTATAAGTTACATAGAAAACAAATAGCAAAAGAATAGAAATAAATCTTTTCTTATCAGCAATTACTTTAAATGGAAATAAATTAAACTTCCCAGCCAAAAGACAGATTGGCAAAATAGATAAAAACACTAGATCCAGCTACACACTATATTCACTTTAGATTCAAAGATAAGAAATGACTGAAAAATAAAAGAATGGAAAAAAGAAATTACTTTTAAATTCAAAAAGAGTGGCCATACTATACTGAACAAAAAAATCAAAGTTACAAGAGACAAAGATATTATATAATAAAAAGTTCAATACAGGGGCCGGGGATTTAGCTCAGTGGTTCCACCGCCTGTCTCACAAGCGCAAGGTCCCGAGTTTGAGCCCCTGTACAAAAAAAAAGTTCAATACAGTAAGAAGATGCAACAATTATAAACACTCCTCCACATGACAGACCATCTAATATGAAACGAAATATGGTAGAATTAAAGGGGAAAAACAAATCCTAGTCAATAATGAATATAGAACAATCAGACCAAGGAAAAATAAGAAAATTTGACACATAAACCAAGTAGAGCAGACATACTCAAAACACTCTACCAAATAGTATGTAAAACAAAACCCCAAGCCCAAAAGTAACAAAATGGATACAATACAGACAACAGCAGAGATTAATGAATAGAGAATAGCAACACAATAGAGCAGTGAAACAAAATTTGCTGCTTGTTTTGTTTTTGGTGTTAGTATCGGAGGTTGAACCCAGGGCCTCCCACACACTATGCAAACATCTATCACTGAGCTACATCCTGAGCCCTTTTCATTTTATTCTGAGACAGGGTCTTGCTAATGTGCCCAGGCTGGCCTTGAACTTGTGATCCTCCCGCCTCAGCTTCCAAAATAGCTGGGATTATAGGTGTATGCCACCATGCCCTGCAAAAGGTGTTAACTTTTTTTTGTTTTTTTGGTACTGGGGATGGAACTTGGGTCCTTGCGCTCGGTGAAACCACTGAGCTAAATCCCCAGCCCTAAAAGGCATTAACTATTTCTTTTCTCCTGGCATAGTGCTGCAGTTTAACTCTTGCTCTTATAAGTCACTGGCTGCTTTTGTTTAGATAGCCAAATGCAAAGTTTATGTCTTGCTGTTGGTTTTCTCAGCTAAGGACAGTGCTCCCTAAGAATGTAGTTCTAAATCTTTTCCTTGTTCCAGCCAAGTATTCTTCGTATTTTATATACATGAAGTATGTTTTTGTCTCTAAAATGTCATTCTCCTAATCCTTTTTCTCTCTTTTCTGATTTCTAAAGTCGTCCTCCATTACAACTGTTGTTATTCTGGCAAGCGTTCTACCACTGAGCTTCACTCCCTGCTCACACGCCTCCATTTTTATCTATTTCCTTTAAAGCATTCTCTGTTGCTCATCTGTGTTTGTTTACTCTGGTTTAAATTTCTGAGTAATCTTCCTTTTTCTAATTTTTTCTCAAATTTTTAACGTTCCAGGCCCCACATTTAGTTCAGTGGTTCCACTACCTGCCTCACAAGCACAAGGTCCCAAGTTCAATCCCCAGTACCAAAAAGAAAAAAAAAAAGGTTTTTTTCACATTCCGGTTCTTGTAATTCTTTGAAATCTTTTATCAATTTCTAAACATCTTATAATCCATTTTAAGTGTTAAGTCATGCTTTTTATACATTTTATTGGCATGCCTCTTTGGTGTGCTTTCAGTGTCTATGAGGATATTCTGTTCTTTGTCCTGTTTTTTTGTAACTCAGTGTGACTATAACTTTGGTTTCTGTGTGAATGGGATTTTCTTAACTTTTAGTAGGTGTAGTTCTGGGGCTTTCTAGCTTTACAGGGATCTTATTTCTATTTCCTTTTTTGTTTTTTAAATGGTGTTGAATAATACAGTAGCTTGCTTCCTGAGATTTCCC